TGATGCAGCTGCTGGAGCAGCTTATTCACTGAGAAGGTCCACATTTGGTAAGAAAGATCATGAATTGTACAGATAGTTACAAGAAACTAAAAATAACATCCACTAACATTGAGTGCTATGCCTAACTGGCCAATACTAGTCTTAAATGGATTATCTAACTTACTCCTAACTGCAATCCTATAAAATACATGCTTCCACCCCCATTTTTAGAGACAAGAAAACTGAGATAGACTCAGAAAGGTTTAGTAACTTATCTTCACTCTGAGAGCTAAAAATTCGCAGAGCTGGGATTTGAACCCAAGTCCCTTCAACTCTAAAGCAGATGGTTTTTAATGACCAGTTCACACTGCTTCATGACAACTCAGGCCTACTCATGGAAAATTTCGTTATTTCAAAATAACATTAGTATAAATCTGGAACTCTAAGGCCAAACCTTACTATGAAACCACCAGACCTTCTCATAGGGCTTCCCAGAGCAAACTCACCTCACCAGAGATGATTTTATACTTTCTCCCATTCTTTACTCCCTACCTGGCTCATTTTCTTCCTCTCACTTTTACCCAAACCTCAAGGTTACCTCCAGCTGCCCTATCTCCCCAGCCTTGTCTTCACCACATTTTTATAATACTTCAATCTCACCACTCATTTTAGCAATGATTATATGCAGGTTACTGTGCAGGATTTCCATATATTTTCTATTTCCTTATGTTTTATTTTCTAAGTACACTTTCATACAGTGAATACTGACTATCTTAAAAAGTCTTTCATGTACTGAAGTCAGATTGTTGTAAACAAGCTAATAAACACAAATTTCAAACTATGACATGGATGGTTTCTGCTGATGGCCAACAGTTTGATTTTACCAGTTATTATTGCTCGCTATATAGTGCAGTATCATTATATATGCATTTAACTTTAGCACATTCAACTATATGTTCTTGGCAGAGCAAAAGAAAAACAGCAACTTAAATAGAACAGGTCAGTACACCTGCCATTCCCATCAACAAGTGTACATCCCATGAGATGCGATGAACTGGCTGTTTCCTCAGCTGGTTTCAGTCCCTTAGGACCTCACCACAGTGTGAATAATTCTCTGGAAACACTACAATTTTGGTGTTTAAAGGTAAATATTTCGGATATAGCACAATCTCTAATTACAGTCAACAGTTTTCCCTAGTCCTGCATTAAAGAAACAGTGATCTATCCCAAGATTGGAGAAAAACTTGGGTCTGTTGGATTGCTCAAAAGAAAGTAAGAGATTGTCCCTGGTAATTCTGATAGTATGTAATTTGCACCCCACACTTTTTTTTATAAACTAACCCCTAAGACATGACTACACTGATGGCAGCATATGTCTGTGCATTCCTCTGATTTTTAAATTGCATTCTGCCTTTATTATGAAATACAAATGAGCAGGAACTAGAAAATGAAAAATGCTGATACAAGAGATCAACATACATCTCCAACAAATGAGACAAAGATGGAAATCATTAGGCCTCCCTAAGTCAAACATGAGGAGAAAGAACAAAATCATGCAACAGGAATGAAATACTAGACCTGGGTCCAAACAGAAAGCAATTATTAGAAATTTTATCATCTTCAACTTTCTGGAAAAGGAATTTCCAAAATCACATGCACATAGCTAAACATGTATATAAAATTATTACACAGACATATTTCCAGGAAAAGGTCATGTTCAAACATAGGGCACTATCATTCCGAACCGTCCCTAATGCCCACTGGGCAGATGTATTGATTTCTTGATTGTCGCCAGTCGGCTCCCTCCGAATTTCACTCATGTCATCAGTACAAACTTTAGAGCCCTACAGTAAACTTGATTGCTGGTACCTATCACTATCTAGATCATAAGATCCTTGCAGGCAGGTTCTAGGTCTTACTAATCTCTGTGCCTGCAGGACCTTAGACAGTACCTGACTGCAAAGGGGCCCTCTGCCAAAGCTGGAGAGTGAATGAATAATTGAATAATCAAATTTACCTCTCTGTAAATTTCAAATTTACCTCTCTGATTCATTTCCTGTAATGAATAAGGAAAGAAAGAAAGACACTGCATAGTAAATACCAAGTCATTATCTCCAGCACAGAGTCCACTGTGTCCCTTGCTCTGTCCTTACCTATCCAGAGAAATGCAGCACAGGTGAAAAATCGATGCTGTCGTGAGCAGCACGTCTAGAGATGTTCGGACCAGGCAAAACATCTCGCCATAAATCCAGATGTCTTGAACCAGCTCAATGGCACCGAAGGGCATCACCAGCACCGAGACCAGCAGATCCGCAAAAGCAAGAGATACAATGAAATAATTGGTTTTTATTTTCCTGTGAGTGAAAAAACATATGAGAGAAAGTACGGGGAGGGACAGAGGAAGGAAAGGAGGGAGGAAAGAGCAAGAGAGAAATCAGGGGAAAAGGGAAGCAAAGAAAGAAGAGAAGATGGAGGGAGAGAAAGGAAAGAAAAGTCATATGTTTAACGCATTCTGTGAGACTCAGTTTCCCCTTCTGTAACATGGCTGAGGAGACCCTATCTGGTCTGGACTCTTCTGACTTCTCCAGACCCATCTTGCACCATAAACCCTCTCTTTCTCTCCTTTCTGGCCACCTGACCTGATCTGAGTTACCCTGTGCATATAGCTCTGTCCCTGGGGCTTTTCTCCTCCAACTATTGGTCTAGTTACGTCCCACCCACCCTTTAGTCTTTGGTTGGGAATTCCCAGGGAGCCCTCTCAAGGTGCTCTCCTCATAAACAGTAGTCAAATTCCACCATTTTATGCTTTTAGACTGACTGCTGTGTGCCTCACATTTGTGACATTGGTCAGAATTGTGTTTGCACACTTTATTTGCATTATCATCGAATTACTACATGTCTTGCTAAGAGAAGAACTGCATCTTTTATCTCCCTTTATGGCCTGGTGGCTCTCAACTCAGGCTGCACACTGGAATCACCTGGTGATAAATATCAACTCCCAGGTCTCAGCCCAGATCAATTAGCTCAGGAACCCTGAGTGGTAACCTCCCTCGCCCATCCCCCAAAAGATTGCAAGATGAAATACAAAATGTCTGGTTAAATTTGAACTTTAACAATGAATAATTTCTTTAGTATAAGTATGTACAAAATATTACATGTGACATACTAATACCATACAGTAGGATTTTTAAAAAGTGGGTCAAGTGATTATAATTGTAGCCAGGGTTGAGACCGATGAAATGGAGAAAACAGGTTTAATTCCTAGATGAATCACTAGCCAGCCACCCGTTCCCTGAACCATGGAGAAAATGAGGAGGTTAGATTAGACGTGCTCTCAACAACTGTATATACAGTGATCACAACTATTTTAAAAAAATGTAACATAGGAAAAAGGATGGAAATACACTGAAGTGCTTACACTCGATATACTGAAGTTGTAGGATTATGTGCAATCCCTTTTTCCCTCCTCCATTTTTTTCAAAG